GATTTCTTATAGTCAACTTTATACGACACTTTCTGGGTCTCTGAGTGCAAAAACAGAAGAAAAGGTGATGGTATATTAATCTTTCCCATCAAAAGTAACAAAGCAAGTCCACAACCAAGCAGACAGTAGGTGGTTCACAGGACCGGGACGCTGCAGGTTTTCATTCAGGCTCACTCTGATGATTACATCTTCCTCTGGGGTTCAAGGTGCTAATCAGAATCACCTGATGAAGGCTTTGGAATGCAAAACTGTACCAAAAACTGTAAAAAGCCTCTGAGCAACATGTGTGCGAGCCCCCTTACAGACCGTATCTAAACATACGATTAGCACACTGTAAAAAGCTCTTATTTTAAACGCTACACTCATGTGTCATTTTGTGTCCATCCCACCAGCATCCAAGGCTAACGAACTCATTCCTGAACACACAAACAACCAAACTATTACACTGTTGCTGGATTAATATTAACTGAGATACTGCCATGGAGAAAATCGACCTATAATCGCACAGTTTTTACTTATTTTATCTTTAAAATACTTTAAAAAAGGGTTTATTCCTTACACAAAGACAAATCGTACACTCTACCACTGACTTAACAACTTTAAACATGTTCAACACAGTCAACTTTACAAAGACTTCAGAAAGTTGTATGGTAGACGTTAAAAAACTTAGCTATACAAGAGAAACCAGAACATTTACCTTCTATTGTTGAATCGTTTGAAAGAAGTGATTCATTCAACACACACAGCGATGAGTTACAGTGTTGGTTACTTCCACACCTCTCTTTCTTTCACGCGGTGTTAGTCATCCATCGAGTCATTAAAGGGCCATTCAATTCAAATTCAAAAACCTCTTTTTCTTGTCCTTCACTCATCCCTAAGCAGCTCCTCTTATCTGGTGTGCTCCCTCCTTCTGCCTCCTGTGAGTGTGTGAAGCGACAGCGAGCAGGAGGCCACACCCAGCACCATGTTGATCAGATTAGAGGGCAGCCCGCCTGCCATAACCCTAGACCTCCGCTCTTCCTCTCCAATCATTTCCCCCATTCTCTCCATCCGAACCAACCCTAGTCTTCCCTCCTCCCCCCCTTTTTCCTTCCCTTCATCTCTCGCTCTGCCTAGCCAACTCCAAACCTCATCCTCTCTCCTCCTTTCATCTACAATAACACCCTCTCTTCTTTTTTTTCTCTTCACAAACTTCAGAAAGCAGTGCGTAGGGAGGATGAGTAGGAGGAATCGCAGGAAGATAAAGAGGGAAAAATGATGAAGTACATGAAGAGGCAGCTGTGAAGCACCAGGAGTGTCAGTGAGTTAAGGGGTGAAGACTTTCCCTCACCCGGACTTGTGTCGGCTCCTTATCATGGCTGGTTCCCTCTTCCCTCCCTGGTCGAACATCGGGTCCACAAACTTAAAGACGTGTGCAGAACCGAACTGGAGGGTGGAGCCCGAGCGCAGCACCGTTGTCTCTGTAACCCGCTGCCCGTCCACAAAGGTGTCGGCGTCGGGGCCGTGCGGCGTCACAGTCACCATACCTTCACTGTGCATGAGGTTGCAGTGGTGGGGCAGAATCCCCGGGCCTAGCAGCTGGACGTGAACAATGGCAGGTACATCAGAAACTACACACACACACACATTACAGCAGCGACAACAGGAGCTCCAGTTTAAAGTCAAACTGAAATTAAAGTACGTCTAGCCAAGAAATCATTTTACATCTTGTTGGTATTTGTTTTTAAATCATATTTATCCAAAAATGTAAGTGACGACGCCTCCTGCAAGCATGATTTTCTGGTACCGACTGACAATCTGTGTGTTGTAGTTTGATTGGTGCAATATTGGAGGGCGGGCTCTAAAATTAGTTTCTCTTCAACTCGAACAGCCACACAGGCATTTAAGCAGCTGGAAGCCTCTGTTTTTGTTTCATCTGTAAATTGACTCGTGGTTAATCTGTGACGCCGTACATGTCTCAGTTTGTAGGCAACTCCTTACACGCAAATCACAAATGGTAGTAGCATTAAAATTCCCAAATGACTGTCACAAGCATTTTACTTAAACAGTCCTTAAGGTCTCTCTCACATGCAAGTGTGGAGTTCGTTTTGAAATAAAATCTCTCTCTTGACTTGATTTTGACAGTCTGGTCAGTTGCCATCACCACAACTGGACCTACGAGAGGGAGACCGCTAATGCTCGCAAGAACCTCATCGTTTTATAATGTGGGGGCGAACACAGCAGTGTGCAGGAGCTGCCGATGACATAGCAGTTGTTGGAATAACATGAACGAAATAAAATGTCGAGTGGAAATCAGTGCGAACGTCAACATCTGGATAGCTTCCAGTTTCCTGGTGGGTGTCCTAACAAGACCGTCTCTCAGAGAAATTAATCTTACACACCATTTCCTCTTTGCGTGAACTACAGTTTAAATGTCCTCACACAGAAAGCGAGGAGATTTTTTCAGTTTGACTTTAAACAACTGTGCGTGTCTTTGCTACCTGGATGGCTCCGTCCTCTGTGCAGTCTGAGCCGACCTCAGTGATGCTGTGTTGAAGCCGGTACAGCTTTGGTTTGTCCCGTGAGTCAGACCCGTCTAGACACACACACAAACACATTCAAAGACTCACATTTAGCACCGGGCAGGGTGGTCTCTCACATCAAATTTAACACAGGAAGTACTGTAATATACAACCTCACACACTCTTATTGACACAAAGCTGACAGCACAGAACCACTTCACTACACTGCTAATGTGGCGAAACAATGTGGGTGGCTGGTGGGTCTGCAGAGCAATTATTGATTATTAGTAAACAGGAGTTTAGTAAAAAAGCAAAGCATATTAGTGCACTAAAGAAAAAGGGGAAACATTGGCTGCTGTAGGAAAATAAAATCTGGGGGGAAAAAAATGAATGGGTATCATAAAAACCTCAGAACCACTTTCTAAAAATACTCAACAGAAAGCTGATATAATAAGGCAACCAGGACAGCTCGGTCTTTCACAGGAATATCATGAGGTTCACGCAGAAACTGGAAACTTATATAAGCTTTAACTGACTTTACCTATTTCACATATTTGGTATATTGGAAATATAAATGCATATTAAGTTATAAAATGTTTCCATAAACTACTTTAATGTCTTTAAGACTCATAAAGGCTTTTTACTTGCTCTGAAACTGCACCTGTTCTTTTTTTAATGCTATTCAAAGAGATAATTCAACAGTTAGAGTTTGATGAGACGAATGAGACCACTTCCATGTTTGGGCTGTAAATACGAGGCTAAAGCAGAAGCCGGTTGGTTTATATTAGCTTCGAGTAGGTGGCAACCTTTGCACAGAGCCAGGCTAGCTGTTTCCCCCAGTTTCCAGTCTTTGTGCTAAGCTAAGCTCACTGCTGCTGGCTATAGCTTCATATTCATCG